GGGGGGGGAAGACTGGGCATGGAGGCACACACCTGTAATCCCAGTGCTTGGGAGGCTGAAAACAGGAGAATCACTATGAGTCTGATCTATGTAGTGAGACCCTGTACTAAATACATTTTTTAAAAAAAGTACAGTCATGCCATCTTCTTTTAGAACATCATTGTAACTTTCCAAACCCCAAATTCCAGCCTGAATTTCTTGGGACTCCACTTCCTGTAGAACAACTGGCCCCAACCTATCACATTCAGTCACAGAGCTCTCCTTATATGAGTGCTTCTTCTCCAGGCAGCCTCTGTGCATAGTGCACTGGCAATACAGCTGCCAGTGATTTTATCCCACGAATTCTTCACCTAAGTCACAGCCTCCTGTAGGTTGGGCTTCACAAAGTTTTCATTAAGTCAAGTGCTAAGGGAAGACTGACAAGATGGAAGTGGTGACAAGAATGATGACAGTAAAGAAAGATGGGCATACACAAGGGAGGGGAAAAAAAAAGGGAGCAAAGATTGCAGGCACCTAAATTCAGAAAACATTTCTTAATTTTACATGAGTACATTAAGTACATCTGTTACAACGCACAACCTATTCAATTATGAAGATTCGTATGAGACACAACCGCTTCAGTTCATTATCAAGTGCACATATTATTTGTGCGTTGTGTCTGTCCTCCAATCGGTCATTTGGCAGTAAGTCTTGAATTCATTCGGCTTCCATAGGCATTTACCACTCATCCAAAGGCACCTGTTTTTTGTTGTTGTTTTTTTTTCTGTATTTAGGACAGGGTCTACAGGATGTATAGGATCTCACTACATAGATCGGACTTGTATTGATTCTTCTGTTTTCAGCCTCCCAAGTGCTGGGGTTACAGGCGTGTGCCACCATGCCCAGTCTCAGTCATGCCCCATGGGTGGGGCCAGCACAGCATGCCAGGGATTGAACCCTGGCTGCTGTGCTCTGCCTAAGCAGGTGCTTTAGTCTGCTGAGCTATCAGGCCAGCCCTTAAAGGCACCTGCTTTGGTACTTACAAACAATGAAAATTTATATTATAATTTAAGTATTAAAGTCAGTATTATTTATATTTAATTATATATTGATATTATAATTCAATATGGCCATTGTGTGTGGAAACTAACATACTAAATGTATCCATCTGGTTAACAATCTTAAGTGGGGCTTATTTTGGGGGTAGGGCTTATAGTAAAGAATCCTGAGAAACCAAGCTAGCTAGGGCTTATTTTCTGGAAATATGGTAAATAGACAGAAAGAAGGGAAGGAGAAAGATCAGTTTACTGAAAGTACTAAAATGTTCAACTACTTCAGTATAAGTTTCTGTTCAAGGTACCCCTGAAGTAGATTTCTCCTTCACATTGTAGAACTGTAAACAAACAAACTCATTAACTGTAGAGAAACTAAAATAAAACAAAGTTGTTCTCCCAGACATTTGGAGAGACAAAAGTATTGAGTTGAATAAACAACTTACTGCAAAAATACCAGGGTTAGTGGAAAGAACATGTGTTTTGGAATCCAAGAAGAAGGTAACTACAAATTGCTTATCATTACTATTGTAATTGTTGTTGACCCTTTTTATCAACTAATCCACATACTAATCAGACACACATAAGTCATCCTATCTACTAAGAGGGAACAATACATTCACTGGTAGGTGAGCGTCCAGGTAAATAACTTGATCCCACATGCACATCTAGGCTAAGCGTTTCAAAGGCACACAAGGCCCAATCATCTTTCTTCTTTTTGCAATGGGGTCTTCCTAGATGTCCAGACTGGTCTTAAACTTGTATAATGAAGTCATTCTCTCACCTCAGCCTATTGAGTAACTGGAAAACAAGAAACACACCACCAGGCCGCTAAATTTATTATCTAGAATCCTGTATAAGGCCACCTACATTTCATTGTTCAATTGGGCAAACTTCTCTATCCATATAAAAAAATCTATGTTTTCAGTCTGTTTCCTTGAGTTCAAACTCAGTGACTTCTAGAACAACTGTTTTGCTCATTTTTAAATTCCCTACTCTGACTACACCCCCACTCCCATTATACTCCTTTTTTTTTTTTTTTTTTTTTGTATACCGGGGATTGAACTCAGGACCCTGCACTTGCCAGGCAAGTGCTATTCTACTGAGCTATCTCCCCGGCCCCTACTCCTTCAATTTCATTAAGATCTCTGTTCTTGCGAGATGTGGTAGCACATACCTGTAATCCCAGCACTCAGGAGGCTGAGGTAGGAGGATCACTGTGAATACTAGGCATTAATTTGAATTGATGTGAGTATTTTTCCAGACTTTGTATCTGCTGTTTGTTTTGGCCAAACAAAAATCACATCAAAAAGAAGATTGAGGAACAGCCCTATAATCTCAGGACATGGGAGGCTGAGGCAAGAGTACTGTAATAAGTTCAAGTACAGCCCGAACTATACAGCAACACCCTGTCTCAAAACAACAAAAACAAAAAAACCCAAAAAACTAAAATCATCTAGGGCTGGAGAGATGGCTCAGTGGTCTAAAGCACCTACTTGAAACAAGCTTGGCAAAGCACAGGGACTGCGGTTCGATCCCCCAGCACCACATGCCAGCCAGCCGCGCCCCCTGGTGGGCTGAGCTGGCCACACACACACACGTAATAAATAAAAAATAAAATAAAATAAAATCATCTAAACTCATAATTGAGCTGGGGAGATAGCTCAGGGCCGGGAAGATAGCTCAGTAGAATAAGCGCTTGAGAATGAGAAGAAAGATTTGTAGTAATAGTGTTTGAACAGGATATCCTGTCTGCTTCTTGTACTATGGATAACTACTAAGAAGATAACAATGTACAACATATTAAATACTGAAAATGTCCTATTAATCAGCTTTGAAACTGTCTCATTGATATTTGTTTCTCAATAACATAAAATAAAATTTTAAAAAAGTGCTTGCCTGGCAAGCACAGGGTCCTGAGTTCAATCCCCAGTACCACAAAAAATAAAAAATAATAAATAAATAAACTCATAATCTTTCTTCAATGGGCCACCCAATGTTATACAGTCCTTTGAAATGTCCTTAATCAGCTGTAGGAAATTTATCAAAAAAATTTTTTGTGGTAGAGGAGAGTGAACCTAGGGCCTTGGACCGAGCTACCTCTTAGCCCTTTTGGTCACTTACTAGCTTTGGGTTCTATGTATCACTTAACTATTCTCTCACTTATATTTTTTATAAAATGACAATATCCCAGGGTTATTTTTATAAGAACTAAAGCAACAGTATGTAAAGCATTAAGGACAGGGCTCAGTATACATAAAACACAATGTTAATCAGTCACATACTTCCATGGCAGTGGTCATACCAGCTATATATCAAGGGCTTTACAGATAGCCAGTCTGGATGTCCTGCCACCAGTCAATGCACACATTTACTTCTTAAACCTCTGAGGCACCCTGAGCTTGATTTTTCAATATTTCATTAATTATCTTCCTAATTCCTAATTACCTTTCTCTTACTGGAATTTTAGCAATTATTTGTGCTTTCCCTTTTCATCTCTCCAGAAGCACCCCAAACTTACTACTACTTCTCCCAGTGCAAACCCTCACTGTAGTCATAGCACTATACAGATTCACATGGTATAATAATAGCAGAGATAGTCTGGGAAGATACCTAAGGGCAAGGGAAAACTAGAAGGCCCATCCTGAATGTTTTAGCCACTTTCTACTTTATAGGTCTACCTCAGTGAATTCAACTTTGTGCTCATCTTCAAGTCTCATTCCCTTCCTCTAGTCCTGCTGCCTGTTTCAGTAGCCTAATTCTCTTCCTCTCCTCCAGGCCTCAGCTTATATAAAGTCTTCCAAAAGCATCCTGACTACACAAGACTGTGCTGGCACTTATCCCCTTTATCACACTTACTATACTGTAGTGTACTTGTTTCTACCCCTATTAAGTTAACAAATCCCTGAAGGCTGCCATTCAGTCTTGTTCACTGTTACATCATTAGTATCTGTTAGATGCCCAATTAATATCAGTTAAGGAGTTACATTTTTTTCCTTTTTTCTTTCTTTCTTTCTTTTTTTTTTTTCTTTTGTATGTTAGGGAAGAGTCTACAGGGTATTCAGGGTCTCATTATTAGATTGGACTCATAGTGATTCTCCTGTTTACAGCCTTCCAAGAGCTGGGAATACAAGCTAGCACCACCACAAGAAGTTAAATTTCTAGGTGGAGGGGAATGAAAAGGATCAAGATGAAATATGAATATATACCTATCTGGCACAATGAGTGTATTTATTATGTGTCTGAAATATATACTGTACTAATAAAAAATAGTTAAATTTCCTTAAGTAGAAGGAAGGGAAAGAGAATTCCATTTTGAACAGATCATGAGATAAGGTTCTAAGCAGAACTGTGCAATGTCTTTTATCTTAGAGAATGGAAAGGCTTAGACTAGAACTTTAACAAACACAGCACTTTTATATGCCACATACTGTTCTAAAAATTACAGAAATATTATCTGATATCCTCAAGAATACAGAGTAAGGTAGTAGTATTACCATTCCCCTCTAATGGATGGGATGAAGTAAACTTTCTAGAGTTACAGCTATTAAGCTGGGATTCATGTATCCAGATGGTTTGGCTCTAGAGTTTGTGTCTTATTTTTTCCTTGGTACTAGGACTGAACCCAGAGCTACATCCTCAGTCCTATTTTACTTTATTTTATTTAGAAACAGGATCTCCTGGGCCAGCAAGATACCTCAGCTCAGCAGACTTAAGCACCTGCTTAGGCAAGCACAGGGATCTGGGGCTTGAGATTCTTCCCCCACACACACCACCACCACAACCACCACCACCACCACCACCACATGCTACACTGGCCCCACCTCTGGGCATGGTGGTGGTGGTGATAATGGTGGCGGCAGCAGCGCACACCAGTAATCCCAGCACTGGGGAGGCTAAAAACAAGAGGATCACTAGGAGTCCGAGCTGTGCAGTAAGACCCTCTACCAAATACATTCAAAAAAAAAGAAAAGAAAAGAAACAGGCTCTCCCTAAATCGCTAGGTTGTGCAGGCTGGGCTCAAACTTTTAATCCTCCTCACCTAGAGTGATAGGATTACAGGTAAATACCACCATACCTAGCTTAGAGTTCATACTGTTAGCCACACTATTTCTACTTCTGTTTGACTAGGAAGATTTGCAAGAAAGAACAGTGGAAATTCTGGTGAGACTTGAAAGTTTTAGTATTTACTCTCTGGTCAATAAAAAAGAAGTCATAAAAACTATACAGAGGAGAGTTTTAGAAAATGTAGTGAGTAAACCGGATGTGATGGTGCACACCTGTAATCCCAGTGCTGTGGAGGCTGAGACAGGAGGATGACTACAAGAAGAGCTGCATAGGGAGACCCTGTACATACTAACTAACTAAATAAATGACAAAGAAAGGAAAAATAAAATATAGCAAGTAATTTTAGTATTAAATAATAAACAGAAAGCTAAATAACACCATAAGGAAACAACCAAACTTCTAACGTGTGCTATTCTATAGCACACCAAGCCTGGTCTCAACAACAAATTATAAAATGTACTAAAAATAGTAAGAGAGATGGATGAAATATAGTCACCTGATTTAATTTGTGTTCTTTGATTAGTTATAGATTTGAACTAATCAATTTCTTTTTTGTATTTGGTTTTGAGATAGGGTCTTACTATGTAGTTTACACTGGCCCTGAACTCACTATGTGGCCCCATGCTGGCCTTGAACTCTTAGTGATTGTTATGGTTTGTGTCTAGATATCCCCCCCAAAGCCTCACGCAAGGCTTCTAGAGTTTTTCATTGACTCATGGCCCAATACTAGCATTATGGGTGTGAGTGCTACATGCACCCTGGAGCGAGCAGCTGCATACAATATAAGGGAAGGAAAGAGGCTTGTTCTCAGCTGCTCCTTCCTTTTTGCTCTTGTTGCTTTGCTACTGTCCCTGGCCATGAACTGCTGCTGCCCTCTGCCATGCTCCACTCTGCCTTGGTGCCAGCCAAGTATGGACTAAAGCCCCACAAGTGATGTGAGCTAAATAAACATTTCCTTCTTTAATTTTGGGTGTTGGGTATTTTGTCCCAGCAATGAGAGAAAAGTAACCAGGACAGTAATCCTCCTGCTTCAGCCTACTGGTATTACCATTACAGGCATATACCAACATAACCCGCTAACCAACTACAGTATTAAATGACATTTTTGAACCAACTGAGGAAATCTAGATATGGTCTGATATAAAATGAAAAACTGTATGATGTATTACATACAGGTATCAATTCCTCACAAGAAAAGTAACCATTATATACTCTAAAGATGTTGTAGTAATAAAAACTGAAATTTTAAGAACAAAATTTTAATGAAACAAATCACTTGGCAAAAACAATAATTATATGATCGCCATTTATTTGCTTGGTTGGTTTTTGGTTTTTTTGAGGCCGGGTCTTGCTTTACAGTGCAAGATGGTCTTGAACTCACTAGATAGCTCAGGCTGGCCTTGAACTCACAGCAATCCTCCTGCCTCAGTCTCCTGAGTGCTGAGATTACAGATGTGTGCCAGCACACAGTGTGATTTCAGTTTAGAAAAACACTAATTTTTATGTAAATTATCAGAAAGGATACAAAACTAAGTTTTTGATTTTGGATTTTGTTTTGTTTTGATTTTTTTGAGACAGCGTCTATGTAGTTCAGGTTGTCCTTGAACTCACTATGTAGCCCGGGCTGGTGTCCAACTCATGGCCACCCTCCTGCCTCTGCTTCCCAAATGCTGGGACTATAGGCATACACCACCACACCCAACTAAAACTATGTTTTCGTAGTACTGATTTCTAAGAGATATAGGTATATAGTCTTATCTTTTGCTTGCATGTGGTCTAATTTTCTATAATATGGATTTGTTGCTTCTATAATAAAAGGTTATTAAAGGAACACAATCATGCTTGTCCTGAAAACTGGATCAATGTTGGCTGGAGCTGGTAGCACATTCCTATAATCCCATCTACTTGGGAAGTTGGGACAGGAGGATCTCAAGTTTCAGGACATTTTGTGCAACTTAGTGAGACCCTGTCTCAAAATAGAGGGTTGGAGATGTAGCTTAGAGATGGGGCACCCCTGGGTTTCATCCCCAGTGCTTAAAAACTAATTTTTTTTTGGACTGGTTTTCTTGAAGTTTGTTGTTCCATGCTGAGCTCTCCTTCCTTTTCTTATTTTTCATGATACTGGGGATAGAGGTGTCATACATGTTAAGCAAGTGTTCTACCACTGAGCCACAGCCTAGTTCTGTACCTTGCTTTTGAACTGCAGACTTAAATATTCAACTGTTCAATGTCTCTTCTTGGGTGTTTAATAGACAAACCAGAGTCAGCATATCCAAAACTGTCCTGATCTCTTCCCCCAAAATGTCTTCTTTATTCTTCTCTATCTCAATAAATGACATTTTAGGGGCTGGAGAGATGGCTCAGTGGTCTAAAGCACCTACTTGAAACAAGCTTGGCAAAGCACAGGGACCTCGGTTCGATCCTCCAGCACCACATGCCAGCCAGCCCCGCCCCCTGGTGGGCTGAGCTGGCCACACACACACACACACAATAAATAAATGTAATAAATAAAAATAAATAAATATTTAAAAAAAAAATGACATTTTAGTTTGTTCTGGTGGCTCCAGTCAAAACTCTTTGATGGGGCTGGTGAGATGGCTCAGTGGTCTAAAGCACCTACTTAGAACAAGCTAAGCTAAGCAAAACATAGGGACCGCGGTTCAATCCCCAGCACCACATGCCAGCCAGGCCCGCCCCCTGGTGGGCTGAGCTGGCCACACACACACTAAATAAATAAATAAACATTTAAAAAAAAAAAAAAACTCTTTGAGTCTTCCTTACTCACCTGTATGTAAATTACCAACAAATCTGACTAAAACTAACTTTGAAATATAGACTTGGAAAGTTACAAACAGGAAAAGGGTGGACTGTAAGTGAAGTTTTGATATGAACTCGTTATATACAGAAAACATGCAGATGAATGGGTGTACTTGCGTGTGTACATTCCAGAACTGATGAGCAGACCTAATACATAGATCTTAGTCTCTGTTAAAAACTAGGACTTCTTGTAGAATGACTTATTATAGGCCGGGGAGATGGATCAGTACAATAAGTGCTTGCCTGGCAAGCTCAAGGGCCTGAGTTCAATACCTGGTTCCTCCAAAAAGACATTATAGGCTTGGGGGGGGGGGAGAATACAAGCAAGTGTGAAACATCTTGTATGAGAATATAAACACATATTCAAACAATGATATTGAGAAAATTCAAGCATCAGCTTGAAGGGTTCCTATTAGCCAAACTGATGACATGTGTAAAAATAAACACCAAGGGCCAGGGAGATAGCTTGGTGGTCTAAACGCTTGCCTTGCAAGTGCAAAGACTGGGGTTTGGTCCCCGGTACTGCATGTTGTGCCAGTCCCGCACCTAGCTAGCCATGGAAACCAGGCATGGTGGCACACTCCTGTAATCCCAGCGCTGGGGAGGCTGAGACAGGAGGATTACTATGAGTCCAAGCTGCATACCAAGACCCTGTACCAAATAAATAAAAGTAAAAAATTTTAAAAAGGGGCCAGCGAGAGAGCTCAGTAGAATAAGTGCATCCTGAGTTCAATCCCTGGTGCCACAAACAAAGGGGGGGGGGCAGCAAGATAGCTGAGTGGACTAAAGAGCCTGCTTGGGCAATTGCAGGGACTGTGGTTGGACAATCACCCTACCAACACCAAATCTTGCCAGCCCCACCCCCAGGGCAGACTGAGCTGGTCACAACGTCTGGGCATAGCAGCACATGCCTGTAATACCAATGCTGTGGAGGCTGAAAAACAGGAGGTTCACTATGAGTCTGAGCTGTGTAGTGAGACCCTGTAATAACCAAATACATTAAATAAATAAGTAAGGCCTACAACCCATTGGATTAAATAGGAACCCAGTGAATATATAGTGATATGAATAAATAAGGGAAGGGGTCAGGAGAAGAGTCCTACTTTATGAAATAATGCCAACTATAAGCATAATATGACCACTAGAAAGAATGTATGCAATGTGTTAATTACTGAAACTATCCTATCAATTTGATTTGAAACTGTCTCATTGCTATTTGTATAGCAATAGTTATGGAAAAAAGCATAATATGAATAATGGTAATAAAAAGCAGTATTTGGCAACCATTGTTATGAAAAAGGACATAAGCAAAAATCATCAATGGGTACTAGTGAAAGTTTAATGAGGAAAAGGATATGTACACTATCTCAATGTGTATCTCCACAACATTTTCATTGGCATTACAGTGGAGAAATTTGGCAGTAGCACCCTAACAAAGTGATAAATTGAATGTAACTATTAATCAGCTTAGCTAACATTATGAACCTACAAATATAATGCATCACTTCTGTAGTATTCCTGTCCAAAACTGCATAACTGCATAAAGTGAATACTGTTAACAGTACTGCTAAGAGTAAAATATCAGACAAACACAACTTTATATTTTATAAATTGCTGTGTATACTTCAGGTTTTTGCTTTTTTGTTTGGTTTTCTGAGGTAGGATAGATCTCGATCTCGATCTCTCCCCCCCACCCCCACCAGCTATGAATTTGCTAGGTAGCTCACACTCACCTGCAACTCTCAATCCTCCTGCCTGAGCCTCCTAAACTGCTGGGGTTACAGGCACATGCCACTATACCTATTTCAGGTTATCATTTTTCATCCCTTTCTATTGCTATAAAAACACCTGAGGCTGAGTAATTAAAAAAAAAAAGTTAGACAAAGTCTTAAAGGGTCACAATCCAAGATGGAGTGGCTCTATCTACTTGACCTCTGGTGAGGACCCTTTGGCAGCATCACAGTATGGCTGATGACCTCCTGGTGGGAAGACATATGAGAGGGATCAGCCAGGAAGACAGGGAGGCAGAGGGATTCAAAGGGCAGGCCCTGAGCAGGCCAGTCTTGCTCTGGAGACAACTCACTATGTGATATCAGTATGAATACCTTCCCAGGGTAATGCCCTTTGTGACCTCAATCTTCCACCAGGCCTCACCAGTTAAAAGTTCTACCACCTCTCAACATTACCACACTGGGGGGGCCTGGGCCTAGCTCAGTCCTTTAAGTGGCTGCTTCCACAAAGCTGTCAGCCTCAAGTGGCTGGAGTTCGAACCTCACAACTCTCCCGATGGCCAAACGTGCCCT